CATACTGAGAGGATGAGAATTTCAAACCATCGGGTCCTGGCTCCATATTGTTTAGGAGCCCTTTCTTCTCTTCTCTCCTGTTTTACCATAAGCAGAAAGAAGAAACCAAGCAACAGTTTTAAACTTTTGCTTAAAAATCTCCTTAGCTGTGTCACCTAGCTCATTAGATACATTTTCTAAAAGACCCACATTACTGAAGGTGACAGTGTTGCTAAACTGTCTGCCACTGTACAACAAAGATACCCTTTCTTCCAGTTTCTAATATGATTTTATTTTCATTTAAGCCTTCACTGGCAGTCTCTTCAAACACCTGACATTAAGCTTCCATCTAGTGACCAAGTTCAGTCTATCCCACATTTTAAAGTATTTGCTATGGCAGCACCCCATTTGGGGGTAACTAAATCTGTATTAGTAAAAAATTATTTCCAAAGTTCGAGGCTTCAATTAACACTTAACATTAATTTTATAGTTTCTGTAAGTCAGGAATTCAGAAACAGTTTAATTGTTAACTTAACAGGTTCTAGCTCACAGTCTCCAATGAAGTTACAGTCAAGTTATAGTCTTCTAAAGGCCTGTCTAGGCGGTAAATGACCTGCTTCCTAGATGGTTCACTAATACTGTTACTATCACAAGACTTCAGTTCCTCACCACGTGGGCATCTCCAATGAGTTGCTGAGTGTCCTCATGACATGACAATTGTCATTTTCTAGTACAGATAAACCAAGAAAACCGGAAAGAAGCTGCCTTGGAAGTCACGCCTTACGTGATTTCTACCATAGTTTTTTTTTTTTTTTTTTTTTAATGTTTATTTATTTTTGAGAGACAGAGACAGAGAGAGAGAGTGAGTGAGCACGAGAGGGGCAGAGAGAGAAGGAGACACAGAAGCTGAAGCAGGTTCCAGGCTTTGAGCTGTCAGCACAGAGACCAATGCAGGGCTCGAACCCACGAACCATGAGATCATGACCTGAGCTGAAGTCTTAACTGACTGAGCCCCCACAGGCATCCCTACCATAGTTCCTTTGTTAAAAAACAACGAAGTATAAAGGACGCTCTGGGGGAGGAGAATTAGATTCCATCAAAGGGAAAAGAATTTAAGAATCTGTTTTTAAAATACCACAGTAAGTAAAATCAAGAATTAAAACTTGAGGGGCACCTGGGTGGCTCAGTCAGTTGAGTGTCTGGCTCTTGGTTTCAGCTCAGGTCATAATCTCAGAGTTTGTGGGTTCCAGCCCTACATTGGGCTCTGGGCTGACAGTGGAGAGACTGCTTGGGATTCTGTCTCCCCCTCTCTCCGACCCTCCTGCACTCTCTCTCTCTCTCAAAATAAGTAAATAAACTTTAAAGAAAATTAAAAGAAAAAAAATAAAACGATACAAAAATTGCTCCTAGTAAAATTACATTTAAGTGGAAGCCTATTACTACAGTCTCCAGTGACATTGCACATTTTCTATTTTATTATGAAAATAAAAATCAAGCAAGTGTGTTAATGTCTAACAAAGTTAAAATATAAATAACTCTTTTAGGGTGTGTATGTAACATGTTAGATTGAGAGCACTGGAGATATATGACTATAAAGTAGAGATCCCAAGGAGCTAACAGAAGAACTACTCTTGCTGCTTTTTGTCATATAGTAATTTTCTTTACCAGCCTCCTCCTTTTCCTTTTTTTAAACATTTTTTTAAAATATTTATTTATTTCTGAGAGAGAGACAGAGCATGCAGAGGAGGGGCAGAGAGAGAAGACACAGAATCTGAAGCAGGCTCCAGGCTCTGAGTTGTCAGCACAGAGCCCGACGCGGGACTCAAACTCACAAACTGTGAAATCATGACCTGAGCCGAAGTCGGATGCTTAACCAACTGAGACATCCAGGCACCCCAAGCCTCCTCCTATTTCTAACTTTTTACTATTTTGTCTGCTTCAATGATAAATTTATTACTTCTCATTCGTATCTTCCCCATTTTTTACTCCATACCAAAGCCCTGACATTTATAGTACTAATAGCAAATAAGAGTATGAAAACAATACTTTTTACCAAACACACTGACTGTTATATGCACAAAGTAGTGCAAACAATTATGTCCTGTAGCAGTTTTTCATTTACATAAAGCTATATACAGAAATGAAGTGAAACCAAATCAGAAGAATATTAACGGGTACCTGGGTGGCTCAGTTAACCGTCTGACTCTTGGTTTCAGCTCAGGTCATGATCTCACAGTTTGTGAGATCAAGCGCTGCGTCAGGCTCTGTGCTAACAGTGTGGAGCCTAGTTGGGATTCTCTCTCTCCCCCTCTCTCAAAATAAATAAATAAACTTAAAAAAAAAAAGAATACTACAGTAACAGCCATTATGTAATGGACAGTGTTGGTATGTGAAAATCTACTTTTTTGAAATTGAATTTTAACCAAATTTACTTTCATCATAGGAGGCAATCCAGAAAATGTTTCTCTATTTCCAGCCCCATATTTTGATTGATACCAAAACAAAATGGAACTTTGTTAAAACACTTAAGTAAAAACTATTATTTTCGGGGCGCAGTCGGTTAAGCGTCCGACTTCAGCCAGGTCACGATCTCGCGGTCCGTGAGTTCGAGCCCCGCGTCAGGCTCTGGGCTGATGGCTCAGAGCCTGGAGCCTGTTTCCGATTCTGTGTCTCCCTCTCTCTCTGCCCCTCCCCCGTTCATGCTCTGTCTCTCTCTGTCCCAAAAATAAATAAACGTTGAAAAAAAAAAATTAAAAAAAAAAAAACTATTATTTTCATCTTATTACTTATTTCTTATATCTAATTAACTGCAACTCACTGTGTTTTTAAAATAATAAATAACCATCAATAAAATAAACAGATTCATATATTTAAACACACAAAAGAACTCTAAAATGTACAACAGGGGGATCGGTAATTACGATACATCTACCAAAAACAAATTACATAAAAATAAAAACATTAAAAATTATAAACTTGTGTGCTCGCTTCGGCAGCACATATACTAAAAATTATAAACTTGTAAAAGTACTTAAGGACACAGAAAATATTATCAAATATTTAAGTGACAAAAAAAGACTATAGTATAATGATATCACAATTAACACATGTGAATACACATTTATGTGTATGGAAAAAATCCCAGTCTATATGACAAATGTATGGTAGCTAATGTGGATGGTAGCATATTTATGTTTTTTCCTCCATATTTTACTATATTTCTCAAAATTTCCAAAATAAAAATATTTTTATTTTCTTATTATAAATGCACATAAAACATTTTGCAATGTCTTTAGGTCACAACTATTTTTACAGTAATATGAATGATTATTAATACAAGATATACATTCAAATTTGGGTTTACTGTTCTAACGTTGTTGTGAAGTATTCATATCTATTGTATCAAACTTGAAAAATATGGAAAAGTACTAAAAAGGAAGCCATATAGCTCAGAATCCCACAATCCAAAAGTAACAAAACATTTAACATTTTAGTGAGTAGTGATAACCATATAATTTTTATGTTTTTATTAATCAGTATATTGTAAGCAAATTAATAAATAATATTTAATGGTTGCATGACAAAGATATACTTTTTATTAATTCAGATTCTCCTATTTAAATAGCTTATTTTTTATTAATACTTTAAATACACCCCAAGATCTGTGTATAAAAAAATCTTTGTGTATCTCTATTCCTTAGTATAAATCACTGGAAATTGGTTCACTAGATCAACAGGCATTCATGTTTCTGTTTTTAAGGCTTTTTAATACATATTACCAAACCGCCTTCTACAAAGAATCAACCAATCTACATTTTCTCCAGCAAGGCATCAATTTGGTCAATCTCACAGACAGACAAAGTATGGGAGAGTGTCAATTTCTACCTGCTGATTACCACTGTTCATATATGCTCATTAACAATTTGTAACTCCTTTTCTGTGAATTCTTTATGTAAGTACCTTGCCTATATGTGGTGGTTAATTTTATCTGTCAACTTGGCGAAGCTATAGTGCCAAGCTGTTGGTCAAACCAGTCTAAATGTTGTGAAGGTATTTTCAGATGTGACTAACATTTAAATCAGTATATTCTGAGTAAAGGAAATTATCCTCCATAAAGCAGACAGGTCTCATTACAAAAAGACTTAAAGACTGAGATTGGTCACTGCAAAGATGAAGGAAGTCTGACATGAGAATGCCTTCCAACTCAAAATTGAAACGTCAAAGTGTGTTAAGAATTGCCATGCATGCCTGTCTGTGCATTTATGACTTGCCAGTCCCCACAATCACTGAGCCAATTCCTTTAAAGACAAACCAAAAAAACCAGCCACCACCACCAACAAATCAACCAAAGGAAAGTGAATAAAAACAAACTTTCTCTCTATAATACATGCATACACACACACACACACACACACACACACACACACACACACACACAC